AAACAAAGCTAGACCGCTCACGGCGCCTGCGCGGGGATGCAGACAGAGCGGGCGGCAGACAGGTCCCGTACCTGGTGGTCCGAAAATAGGGGCGCGTTTGATAATAGGGACACAGTTTGTTCGAAAAAATGGTCCTATTTTCGAAACGTTCAATATGTGATATGTTCGATTTTTGAGGTTCCACTGTACAGCATTATATTTTTTCAGTGCACCAAGTATAAGAAAGGTTATTCGGTATATTATAACATGAATGCATATTGATTGACAGATATTTACAAATGAAAAAATCTCTGCAATACTATATATGAACACATAAACAGAAAACACTAGAAATCATTTGAATTTTTTTTTGTTTTAAAGATGTATACTTTGTGCTAGTAGGTCTGGTGCTGTGCTTCTTAAGTGGATGTGACCTGGACCTGACTAGGTATGGGCTAATAGGTCTGCTGCAGTGTTCCTTCTTATGTTATTAAGTTATTATATACAGTAGACCATTGGATAACACATAATCTCTTAATACATTTATATTATAACATGGTTGCAAAATTGTGGCATATTTTTGGTAAACATACTGCAGAAAATTGAGTTACACAGTGGAGTGCATGTAAGGAAAAATGTGGCATGTGCTGTGTTCTTTCCCATTTTGTTTCACAGTGAGCCACAGGGCGAGTCCATTATCTTACGGACTAGTGGGTGGGAGCATGTAGGATAGTGGGGAAGGACAAGGTACTGGGTGAAGAAGGGTGAGTGAAGTTCTGAGCGAAGGGCGAGAGTGGCCCATGGGTGCATGCTATTGTTGCTGTGCTATGTTCCCTTTGCCCATTGTACATCCCGTGTAGCACTGAAGTGTATGGTCAGATGGGCATTAGTGTGGAGATGGGTAGAGGCAGGTGGGTGTGGATATGCAGGTGCAGGCAAATGTTTAGGAGAGGTGATTGCAAGTGTGGGGAGGGGGGGGTAAGGTTCGTAAAGGTGTTGAGCCTCTAGCTCCTGCCCCCACTTACAGTGTTCGGTCTTCATCTCCCATAACAGCAGTCTCCCAATCCCCATCCCTCATCCCCCACTCCATACCGAACCCACTGACCCCAGCCACTCTAACCCCTCCAGTGTACACCCAAACCACTAACCCCTATTTTATAACTCTAAACAAATAATCCTCACATAGGAGAGAGAAACGCTTATGATATTTTGGTCTGACTTTGACCATTCACAAGTCACACTAACAGAAGACAGTGAGTGAGCCAGTATATATGTAAGTGAGGACAGGGATGGAAGAAAGAGAGGAAGAAAGAGTAGTAGTGGTAGTGGTAATGCTGGTCCTCTGCCAAAACTGTCTATCTTACTTCTAGCCTTCACAGCCATCGTCTTGTTGAAGCATCCCTTATACACAGCTTTTCTAGTATGAATCCTAGTCCTGGCTTTGTCTCTGTAGATGCTTTCCTTTCTCCTTACATTGTCAAATGCTCCAAATGTCAACACTCATGACTTGATCTTTTCTTCTCTTCCTGGAGTTTACCTGGAGAGGGTTTCAGGGGTCAATGCCCCCATGGCCTGGTCTGAGACCAGGCCTCATGGTGGATAAGGGTCTGATCAACCAGGCTGTTACTGCTGGCCGCACGCAAGCTGACGTACGAACCACAGCCCAGTTGGTCAGGTACTGACTTTAGGTGCCTGTCCAGTGCCTTCTTGAAGACAGCCAGGGGTCTATTGGTAATCCCCCTTATGTATGCTGGGAGGTAATTGAACAGTCTTGGGCCCTGGACACTTATTGTGTTGTCTCTCAGTGTACTCGTGGCCCCTGCTTTTCATCGTGGGAATGTTGCATCTCCTGCTGAGTCTTTTGCTTTCGTATGGAGTAATTTTTGTGTGCAGGTTTGGTACCAATACCTCCAGGACCTTCCAAGTGTATATTATCATGTATCTCTCTTACCCGCGTTCGAGGACCTTCAACCGTTCCCAGTAGTTTAGGTGCCTTATTGCATGTATGTGCCATGAAAGTTCTTTGTACACTCTCCAGGTCTGCAGTGTCACCAGCCTTGAAGGGGCCCATTAGTGTACAGCAGTATTCCAGCCTAGAGAGCACAAGCAATTTGAAGAGAGTCATCATGGGCTTGGTGTCCCTAGTTTTGAAAGTTCTCATTATCCATCCTATTATTTTCCTAGCGGATGAGGTAGATACATTATTGTGGTCTTTGAAGGTGAGATCCTCTGACATTATCACTCCCAAGTATACCCTGATACATTTTTAATTTCTTCAAGTTTTCCATATCTGAGTAGTCAAAATTTCTCCTCGTTGAACTTCATATTGTTTTGAGTGGCCCATTCGAAGATTTGGTTAATGTCAGCTTGGAGTCTTGCGGTGTCTTCGATGGAGGTCACTGCCATGGTGATCCAGGTGTCATCCTCAAAGAAAGACACGGAGCTATGGCTTACATCTCTGTCTATGTCAGAAATGAGGATGAGGAATAGAATGGGAGCGAGTACTGTGCCTTGTGGAGCAGAGCATTTTACCGTGGCTGCCTGGGGCTTTACTCTGTTTACTATTACTCTTTGTGTTAAATTTGTCAGGAAGTTGTAGATCTATCTATCAATTTTTTCCCGTTATTCCTTTATCCCACATTTTGTGTGCTATTACACCATGGTCACACTTGTCGAAAGCTTTTGCAAAGTCTGTGTATACTACATCTGTATTTTGTTTATCTTCTTCAGCATCCAGGACCTTGTCATAATGGCCCAGTAGCTGGGACAGACAGGAGCAGCCTGCTCTAAACCCATGTTGCCCTGGGTTGTGTAATTGATGGGAATCTAGGTGGTTGGCTATCTTGCTTCTTAGAACCCTCTCAAAGATTTTTATGATATGGGATGTTAGTGCTATTGGTCTGTAGTTATTTGCAATTGCTTTACTGCCACCTTTGTGGAGTGGGGCTATGTCTGTTGTTTTTAGTGTGTGTGGGATGACCCCTGTGTCCATGCTCCCTCTCCATAAAATGCAGAAGGCACGTGATAGGGGCTTCTTGCAATTCTTGATGAACACAGAGTTCTACGAGTCTGGGCCTGGGGCAGAGTGCATGGGCATGTCATTAACCCTTTGACTATTTCAGTCGTACATATACGTCTTACGAGTCACCGTGTTTGACGTATATATACTCATAAATTCTAGCTGCTTCAAATCAAGCAGGAGAAAGCTGGTAGGCCCACATGTAAGAGAATGGGTCTGTGTAGTCAGTGTACACCATATAAAAAAATCCTGCAGCACGCAGTGCATAATGAGAAAAAAACTCCGACTGTTTTTTAATTAAAATGCCGACTTTGTGGTCTATTTTCGTATAGTATTTATGGTTGTATTCTTGTTTTCTTGGTCTCATTTGATAGAGGGTGCGGCTGGTAAGAAAAGATTAGAGGTGATATTTGATGAGCATCGCCCTCACTTTGTTTTCGCCAGTACACAAACATGTCTGTCTGTCTATTTGTCTGTCTGTCAAGCTCCCTGTCTATCTGTCTGTCTGTCTAGCTCTCTGTCTCAGAGAGAGCCACAAGACTGCGTCATCACCGTTACTCACATCTTCAAGCAGAATATAGCACTTTGTCTGGATTTTTTGGGTTATCCTAGGTAATTTACACTGTATACTTGTATTTATGTGTACCTGTGAGACAGAGATAGACAGAAAGATAGAGACAGAGTGAAAGAGATAGAGACAGATAGACAGAGGTAGACAGAGACAGAGATAGACAGACAGTGATAGACAGATAGACAGAGGAAGACAGAGATAGACAGACCCTAAACTTAGGGTTAACATCACTTTCCTCTTAAAAGACGAGTGTTAATATGACATTACATCAGTGAATCTTTGGTGTTTGCTGCACTGTTGCTGTAGCTGGCGCTCAATTTAACTGGCGCTCCCACAAGGTACTAAGTGGTCCCAGATTTTTTTAATACTGCACACACTGAGTGTTAGGACCCATTCTATGCTGACAAGGCATCTCAGGCCAATCGTGCCATATTTGATGGCAGGAAAAATAAAACATATATATGCGTTTGGGGCGCTACGCGTAAGAACGTATATATACGTTTGGACTGTTTAAGGGTTAAATAACTGTAAAATAGCATTTTTATATACGGAAAAATAACTGGAAAGCTCATTCCATGATCTTACTCGGAGACAGCACCAAAATATCTGTGCTGGGGCTGGCTCTCTGGTTGGAAGGGAAAAGCTCAGAGACTTGTTTTGAAGAAGTTATTATTACTATTTTTATTTGGGAGGGTTTGGGGAATTTTGGGGGCTGAAACCCCAGGTTTTCCTTAGCGCCATAACTTATCTTTTGCTACATTTAAATGTTGTTATGTTACAGGTTTATCATGCCAGAAATCATCTCATGTATCTCCGGATCATTTTTATTTGCAAGTGCGTACATATCAAGCCCTGGACCACACTGTCATCCGCAAGACTGAAGACCTAGTCAAGGTTAGTTAATGGAATGCAGGCCCCTGAGTTTAGTGCAGAGTTATTAAATATAATTTTTGAAGGCTGGCAAGTTTTTTAAGCTTTATAGAAAAGAGGGCAACTAATTTTGTAGGGGAAAGTGAAAAGAAGGTTTTAGAGTAATTAAGGTTAGATACAAAAATATAGTAAGGGTTGGGGAGAGCTCAGTGATTTTAACATTTAAAAAAAATTTCAAAAAATCACTATTTTAAATTTTCTGCCATTATTACCAAAATTTTTCCAAAATATTGTAAGAGAAACTAACTATTTCACCAGTTTGCTGGGTATCTTGGGTTTTTTTTACCAACATTACAGATGTAATCACATTTAATCCAACCCAAATCCATAGTCCTTTTGTCCCTATTACAGGAAACCCTCTGTTTCCCCGACTTTGGAAAAAACAGAAAACAAAATCTGCTGGGGTTTGTAGTTTTAGAAATGATGGGCGAAATTCTTTTGGGTTTTATAATTTTTTAAATTTTTATTACAGTCTTTTCCCCTTTTCCCCTCACAGTTGTCAAATTTCTGGCCCGTCTGCTCCAACCAATTAAATCTATTAAAACCCCTTAAAATGGGCCAAACTAGATCTACATTCACTCACCCAAAGCTCTGAATAATTTTTAAAAAAAAAAAAAAAAGGGTTTTTTTATTTTAAAATTTAAAAGGGGCAATTTTTTTGTGGTTTTAAGACCAAAAAAAAAAAAATTTTGGACCAGTTTCTTACTGAATATAAGACTGGTTTAAGTTTTGGGGGTGGATGCCACCCTGATGGCATTAAGGATCTGCCCCCTTTTTTGAAGTGTTCCATTTACCTTTTTTTCCCCCGTTTTTATATTTTTAAAATTTTTTTGGGGTTTTTGGAAATTTTCAATTTTTAGTATTCTTGTGATTTATAGCCAATCTTTGTTCTGACACAAATTAATTTGTGAAAATTTCCTCAAAAATTGTTCCCCAAAACACGACAGTTCAACCCTTTACAAACCCCTTTTTTGGGCATTTAAATATTTTTCAAGGAAAAATACCAAATTTTTTGTATCCCAGGAATGTTTTAGGGCATGCTGGGAAATTATATGAAACTACTTGAAGCATCGGTTAAGAAAATGTCACTAAACTGTTGACAGTGTAAACAATGACAAAAAGGGTCGGCACGCTGCGGGAAACCCCCGGGTTTATTTGTTTTCCCCCATTACCCCATTTAAAAATCTGTTTTGTCTTCCCGTTTTAGCTGGGGTCCCATCCCCTATTTTTTCTGCCTGTGTCCCAGTCTTTCCCTCTGTCCCGTTGTCCCTTTCCCTTTCCCGTCACCTTTTGCAGTCTGTCCCTTTCCTGTCCCGCCTGTTTTTGTGTCGTCTTTCTTTCTGTCTGTGGTTTTTTCTTTTTTGTCTGCCGTGTGTTTGCCCTTTTTGCTGCCCCTGGGTCGTCTTTCTTTTCGCCTGTAATTTTCCCGTCCTTTCCCTTTTGCCCCCGGGTTTTCCCGTCTTTTTTGTCTGCCTGTTTTCTGCCCTTTTTGTCTGCCTGTGTGTCTTTTTTTCCGTTTTTCCTTTTGTGGGCTCTGTCTTTCTTTTTGCTTGTGTTCTTTCTTTCTTCGCCTGAGTGTCCGTCTTTTTTGTCTGCCGTGTGTGTCTTTCCCCTTTTTGTCCCCCCCTGTGAGTTTGTCTTTTCGCCCGTGTGGTTGTCCCTTTTTTTTAGGGTTTTTGCCTGTTTCCAGGGTTTTCCCCCTTTTCTGTCTGCCCGTGCATTCCCGTTTTCCCTTTCCCGTTTCCCTGCCTTTTTTGTCTGTTGTCTTTTTTTTGCTGCCTGTGTGCCTGCCCTTTTTGTCGCCTGTTGGGGTCTTTATTCCCGTCGCCGTTTGCCCCGTTTTTCCCGCTGCCAGGTGTTTTCTTTTTGTCTGCCTTTGTGTCCCGTCTTTCTGTCTGGTGGTGTCTGCCTTTCTGGGGTTTCGTGAATTTTCTTTCTTTCCTTGCCTTTTTCCCTTTTTTTTTCCTTTTTCTTTTTGTCTGCCTGTGTGTGCCCGTCTTTCCCGTCTGTTTGTGGGGGCCCCCCCCCGTCCTCTGCCTTTTGTTGGGGTCCCGCTTTTTTTCCTTTCCCTGGGTGTTGGTTTTGTCGCCTTTTTGTTTTCCTGTCTGCCTGTGTTGTGTTGTCTGCCGGGGTGTGGCTGCCTTTTTGCTGCCTTTTGTTTCGTCTTTCGTCCCGCCTGTGTGTTTGTTTTTTCGTTTTCCCGTGTGTGTGTGTCTTCTGTTTTTCCTGTGTGTGTCGGGCTTTCTGGTCTTTTCCTGTGTTGTGCCCGTCCCCTTTTTGTTCCCGCCTGTGTGTGGTTCCTTGTTCCCTTTTCTGTCGCCTGTGTTGTTCTGCCCCTTTTTGGGCTGCCCCCGGTTTTCTGTCTTTCGTCGCCCTGTGTGGGCTGTCCCTTTTTGCTGCCTTTTGGGGTTTTGGGGTTTTTTTGTTTGCCTTGTTGTTGCTTTTTGTTTGCCCTTTTGGGTCTGTCTTTTTTTCTGTGTGGTTGTCTTTTTTGGGCTGCCTTTTGGGGTTTTCTGTCTTTTTTTGTTTTGCCTGGGGGTTGTCCTTTCTGTTTTCCTGTGTGTCGTCTTTTTTGTCTGCCCTGGGTGTGGTTCCCTTTTTGTCTGCCCGTTGTGGTTTTGCTTTCCGTTTGCCTGTGGTGTGTCTGTCTTTCTGTCTGCCTTTTGTGTGTTGTTTTTTTCTGTCTGCCTGTGTGTGGCTTTCCCGTCTGCCTGTTTTTTTTCTGTCTTTTTGTTTGCCTGTGTGTGTCTTTTTCTGTTTTCCTGTGTGTGTCTGTCTTTTTTAGTCTGCCTGTGTGTGGCGTCTTCTGTCGCCTGTGTGTTCTGTCTTTTTTGTTTTTCCCGTGTGGTTCCCGGGCTTTCTGTCTGCCTGTGGGGTTTCTGTCCTTTTTTGGGCGCCGTGTGTTCTTCCCCCCCCTTTTCCCCTTTTTGTGTCTGTCTTTCTGTTGGGCCGTGTGTGTCTGTCTTTCTGTCTGCCTGTGGGGTTTTCTTTCCCTGTCTGCCTGTGTGTGGGCTGTCTTTCGTCTGCCTGTGTGGGGGTTCTTTCTGTCCCGCCCGTTGGTCTGTCCCTTTTTTTTTGCCTGTGTGGTTTTGTTTTCTGTCTGCCTTTTTGTGCGTCTTTCTGTCTGCCCGTTTGTTCTGTCCCTTTTTGGGTTTCCTGTGTGTTCGTCTTTCCCGTCTCCTTTTTGGGGGTGGGGGTTTTTCGTCTTTCGTCTGCCTGTTGGGGGGCTTCGTCCCTTTTTTCTGCCTGTTTTGGGGTGTTTGTCCTTTTTTGTCTCCCCGTGTGTGGTGTTTTCTGTTCCCGTTTATTTTCCTTTTTTGTGTGTTTTTTCTTTCTGTCTCCTTTTTCGTTTTCTGTCTGCCTGTGTGTGGCCCGCTGCCCGTTGGCCCGTGGTTTTGGGGTTTTTGCCCTTTTGTGTGGTGTCCCTTTTTTTTGCCTTTGGGGGGGGTTGTCTTTCTGTCTGGGCCCGGGGTGTCCTTTTCCTTCCTTTCTCCTTTTTGTGTGTTCCCGTCCTTTTTTGTCTGCCTGTGTGGGGGGCTGTCTGACCTTTTTCTTTTTCCCGTTGTTTGTGGGTTTCTTTTTTTTGCCTGTGTGTGGGGCTGGCCCTTTTTCTTTTTTCCGGCCTGTGTTGTCTGTCTTTTTTTCTTTTTTGTGGGGGGGTTGGGGGGGGCTGCTTTTTGTCTGCCCGTGTGTTTCTGTTTTTTCCCGTCTGCCCCCTTTGGGGGGGGTCCCGTCTTTCTGTCCCGCCTGTGGGTTTTTTGGCCTTTGGGCTGCCTGTGGTGGGGGTCTGTCTTTTTGTTTGGGCCCGTTTTGTCGTCTTTCTTCTACCTGTTGTTCTGTCTTTCTGTCGCCCGTTTTGTGGCTGTCTGCTGTCTGCCCGTGTGGGGGTGTCTTTTTTGTCTTCCTGTGTGTGTGTGTCTTTTTGTTTTTTCCCGTGTTGGTGCTTTCTGTCTGCCTGCAGTGTCCCCCCCTGCCTGGTGTCCTTTCTCCTGTGGGTGTGTCTGCCCCGTGGGTGGCTGTCTTTCTGTCTGCCTGTGTGTGGGGGTCTTTCTGTCGCCTTTTTGTTCTTCTTTCTTTTCTGCCTGTGTGGGGTCTGTCCCTTTTTGTCCGCCTTTTTGTGGAGCTTGTTCCTTTTATCTGTTTTTGGCCCCTTTTGTTCTGTTTTCTGTTGCCTGGTTTGTCTGTCTTTCTGTCTGCCTTTTGTGTGTCTTCTTTTTTTTTCTGCCCCGGTGTTTTCCCGTCTTTCGGCTGCCTGTGTTTGTCTGGGCTTTCTGTCCCGTCAGTGTGTGTCTGTCTTTTTGTCTGCCCGTGTGTGCTGTCTTCCGGTTTTGCCTGTTGTGTCTGTCTTTTTGTCTGCCCTGGGGTGTGGGGCCCCGTCTTTTTGTCTGCTTGTTTTGGGGTCTGCTTTCGTCCCCCTGTGTTGTCTTTCTTTTCTGCCTGTGTTTGGGCCTGTTCCTTTTTCCTTTTTTTTTTCCCCCTTTTTTTCTGTCTTTCTGTCTGCCTGGGGTGTGGGTGTCGGCTGTCTGACTGGTGTTTTCTTTTTGTTTCCCCGTGGGGTGTGTTGTCTTCCTTTCTGCCCGTGTGTTTTCTGTCTTTCTGTCTGCCTGTGTGTGGGTGTTTTGTCTTTTGCCTGTTTTGTATCTGTCTTTCTGTTTCCTGTGTGTGTCTTTTCTTTTCTGTCGCCTGTTGTGTCTGGGCCTTTTTTGTCTGCCTTGTGTGTCTTCTTTTTGTCTGCCTGGTTTTGGGCTGTCTTTCTGCTGCCTGTGTGGCTCTTTTTGTTCCTGTGTGTGTCGTCTTTACTGTCAGTGTGTGTTTTTTCTGTTCCCCTTTTCCCGTCCTTTGGGTTCCTGTGTGTGGGTTTTCTTTCTTTTGCCTGTGTTTCTTCTTTTTCTGTCTGCCTTGTGGGCTGTCTTTCTGTCTCCTTTGTGTTCCCGGGCTTTCTGTTTGCCCTTTTTGTTCTGTTT